CTCAGGTATCAACATAGGCTGATGGGAAACCTAAATTTCCAGTTTTCCATTTAAAATCACTCATCAAACCAAGAAAAAGGAAAGTCTTAACTTGAAAGAAAAAAGACAATCTACAATCATCTCCATCGAAATGACACAAGTGAATTATCTGCCAAAGGTATTAAAGCAGCTATCATTTTAAAAATGGCTGACCCTGGCTGATGTGGCTCAGTTGGAGCATCATCCCATACGTGGAAAGGTTGCAGGTTGTATTCACGGTTAGAGCACATACCTAGGTTGCAGGTTCTATCCCTCATTGGGGCAGGTACACGAGGCAACTGATCGGTATTTCTCACAACAATCTCCCTCTCTCTCTCCTCTCTCTCTCTCTCTTTCCCCTTCCTCTCCCTTCATCTCTCTCTAAAATCAATAATAACATATCCTCGGGTGAGAATTTAAAAAAAAAAAAGGTGCAGCCTCGTCAGTGTGGCTCAGTGTTTAAGCGTTTGACCCATGAACCAAGAGGTCACTTGTTCTATTCCCAGTCAGGTCACATGGCCAGGCTTTAGGCTCAGTCACCAATAAGGGGCATGCAGGAGGCAGGCAATCAATGTTTTCTCTCCTTAATGTTTCTGTCTCTCCCTCTCCCTTCCTCTCTCTCTAAAATCAATAAAAGTACATAAAAAAACAAAACAAAAATGGTACAATAAGCGATTACAAACTTGCTTGCAGCAAATAAAAAATAGAAAGTCTCAGCAATAAAGACATATAGAACAAAATGAAATTTTAGAACTGAAAAATACAGTAATCAAGATAAAATTCAATGGAATGTCTCAACAGCAGATTGGATGTGGCAGAGTGCAAAATCTGTTAATAGAAAGATAGAGTAGAAATTACCTAGTCTGATCCAGAAAGAAAATACACTGATAAAACATGAAGAGTGCTTAGGTTACCTGTGTGATTATAATAAAAGATCTATGATGCTTGTCAACAGAGTCCTGAAAGGAGAGATAAAAGAAAGTGTTGCTGAACAAGTGCTCAAAGAAATAATGGCTAAAAAATAACCAAATTTGGCAAATGACAAAAACTTACAGATTCCAGAAGCGAAGTGAATAAATAGGATATACCCAAAGAGATCCATGCCATTCCCATTATAGTCAAACTTCTGAAGACTAGTGATAAAGAAAAATCATAAAAGCAGTGAAAGAGAAAGGGACTCTGTCTACAGGCAAAAGCAATCAAATGTCATGATTTCTTATGAGAAATGACTGAATCCAGAAGGAAGTGGCATGACATTTTTTGTATGGTTAAGGAAAAGAACCGTCAATGTCCAGAAAATAGAAGAGGAGGCAACACTTACAAACACATTTAATGAGGCAAGAAGTACGCTGATACCAAACCAGACAAGCACAATACAAAAAACAACTACAGATCAATAGCCTTCATAGATATAGAGGTAAAAATGCTAATGAAATTTGATGTCATGTTAGCTAGGTATAAAAACAATAATCCCATTATCTTATCAGTTGATGTAGATAAAATGGTTTGACAAAATTCAACACCCATCCATGATTAAAAACAAAACAAACAAACAAACAAACAAAAACCTGAAAACCTAGGAGTAGAGGAGGACTTCTTCAACTTGATAAAGAACATCTACAAAAATCCTATAGCTAACATCATAATAATGGTGAATCATTTTAATGCTTTCTTCCTAATAGTAGGATCAAGGCAAAGATCTTTACTTTCATGCCTATTATTTTTTATAGTACTGGAAGTTAGAGCCAGCATAGAATTGCAAAAACAGTAAATAAAAGCACATAACTCAGGATGGGAGAGTTAAAACTGTCCCTATGTGCAGATGTTATGATGGGCTATACAAAACACCTCAGGGATTCTACAAAATTACTCGTAGAAATAATGAGTTCACCGAGGTCTCAGGATACATGAGCAGCATACAAAAAGCAATTGTATTTCTATATACAAGAAGGGAGCTACTGGAAACCAAAATTCAATAAAAGTAAGCAAGCTATTGATACAGGTAACAACTTGAATGGATCTCTAAGACATTATGCTAAGTGAGGACAGCTAATCTCAGAGGGCCCCATGCTGGATGATTCCGTTTATCTACCACTCTTGAAATGACAAAATTTTTGTGATGAAGAACATATTAGTGGGTGCCCCACTGATAGAAGAGGGTGGTTGGTGTGACTGTAAAGGGATAGTACAAGGAGAAGCATTGCGGTGATGGAATGGTTCTGTATTGTGATTGAAGCTGTGGTTGCACAAATCTACCATATGGTAAAATGACCGAAACACGTAGCAATGTCAGTTTCCTGGTTTTGATATTGCATTATAGTTATGATAAATGTAACTGTTGGGGGGAAACTCGGTGAAGAGTTTAGGGACCCCTCTATATTATCGTTGCAACTTTTTGTGACTCTATAATTGTTTCAAAATAAAATGTTAATTTTTTAAAAATCCTCCTTTGCCAGTTATTAACAATGAGAACTTGAGCAAGTTCCTTGAGCAGGCATCTTTATAATGTGGCTCTTAAGACCTACCCAATATAGTTATTGTGAGAAGTAAGTGACTAAGGACCACAGAAAAACAGTGATAAGGTCTGAACTGAACTAGGATTCACTATGTTTGGGCTAAATTTTATTTTATGTACCTTTCACTTATTCCAGTGAAAATGCTTAAGACATTCTTAAGCATGTCTTCCTACCGAGATTATAAAACCTTAAGGGAAATATATGTATTCTAATTTAAGGTAGAATTTATTATAGGTGCCAAATAAATTTTAATTATTGACTGAAACTGAAAGATGATTATAACACAAGGTGGGCCAAAAGTAGGTTTACAGTTGCTCATATGGAAAATAATATAATAATTAATAAATAGTAATACAAGAATAAACTTTCGCATACTCACAACTGTAAGTCTACTTTTGCCCTCCGCTGTAGACCTGAGAGCATTCAGATCTATCAGTGTTTGGTATTTTAGGTATTAATAAAGACAAGTTTTTGGTATACAGTGGTACCTCGGTTTTCCAACATCTCTGTGGACAAATATTTCGGGTTACCAATGCCATAAGCCCAAAAGGCAATGCTTCGGTTTTCGAACCCGCCTCAGAAGTCGAACATGCCACGCAGCTTCTGCTGAGGGCAAGATCCTGAGGCCCAGTTGTCGGCTGCAGATCCCTCGGTTTTCAAATGTTTCAGAGCTTGAATGCTCTTCTGGAGCAGAACACATTTGAAAACCGAGGTACCACTGTATTTGGAGTCACAGATGTCTTTAGAAACATGCACCTCAGGGTCTTTCACAATTGGCCATGCATTAGAATCACCTGTAAAACACAAAGTCCTGGGTCCTACTTGCAGAGTTGCTTATTTTCTGGGTCTTATGTGTACTTGCATTTCTAAAAACTTCCTAGGTGATGCTGATGCTTCATGGACCACAGTTTACAAATCACTGATAAAACTGTACAGATGCCTTGAACTAAATGTGGGTTTATATCTATAGAAAACACAGTTCAAGGACTAAAGGAACTCATACACTGGGCCATACGGCACTCAAAGCACAGAACACTGATGCTAACATTCGGGCTTGGATCCATGTCAATCCTAAGACATTTTTCTTACTTTGTTTTATAAAATTGCTGCTTATATGCATATTTAGACAACTATGCAAAGGAGAGGAAATGGTCTAACGTATGAAGAAGAACATCTTCAGTCTATTTAGGATAATAGCAGTTTAAATACAGTTACCTAAAATTAAAATTAGGTGTTATATTTTATTTCATATGGATTTTTGGGGGAATGGTAGTATGATGATGATATTCCAAACTGTAGAATGTATAATTCACTATTAAGGTAAATATAATAGTTTGACTGAATGTGTCAGTTTTTCCTATTTTTATGTATAATTTATTTCTATGCCAAGCAATTGAATGCTTGACATAGAAAAATGAGTCTGTCACTTTAACAAATGGTACTATAAAAACACTCAAACAAATAATTTCAGCAGAGATTATTATAATTGCAAAAGGAGTATCTTTCTAAAACATGTTACCAATGTTTCTACAAATATTGGGCTTGCCTGTTGCATTAAAAATAAAAATAAGAAAGTAGATAAAGAAGCCTTCTAGTGGCAAAGAGTGATTTACAAACATGTTGAATGACATATTACAATTGTGTTCATTTTATACAGAAAAAAGCATCTATTGAGAGCCATTACATAATTTATCATGATCTCAATGTCAAAGAGAATGGTGTTTGAATAAATGTCACAAAGAAATTTAAGAAAGAATAATCTGTTACTAAAAAAAAGACTTACCGTAAACTAAAATGGAAATTCAGCATCTGAGGAGGACTTTTTGTGCCATTTTAAGAGTGCTCTTTATTTTCACAGGAACCTGGTCCCAAGAGACCTATACACATTCTGCCTTCACAGCTCAGCTGCCACATTCCTTTGTTGCTTGTCTTATTTAGGGTTTTGGCATCATCAACACATGACTTTCGATTGGATCCCCAGAGTAGAAATTAAGTTTGTTAGACAGTGGGTGCATAATGAATGCATAGATTATTCTTCATTGAATTTAGTGTTGTTGAGCGGGTAAAAGAAGAAAAGGCATTTAAAAGTCTATTCTGGATCAGGATGTTTTTGCTCTTTTATTTTAGAAATGTGCACAGAAGTTACAGAAAGTATTGCGACAGTTTTGTGCTAAAGAGGTTTTATGTTTGGAAGGCTTTGCGAGCAAGTATTCTGTCCACTATGCTTTCCTGGTTAGGATTTTCATCAGAACGCAGTTGGACATTATTTGAATTCACAGGACTTGCCATGCTGGAAGCACAGCCTTATATGTAGTGGCCATGGGCAGTCCTATTATGGGAAACCAACTTGAGAGAAAAGGCGGGTCACTTGCTTCTGCGCAGGTCCTGGAATTCGAAATATCCAGGGGCCTCTACAGAATCCTGGCATCAGTTACTGTGTTGACTCACTCAGTGTTGGGATCACTCACTTTCCCCTTACAGGACTCAGATCTTGGAGGCAATTAGCTTCAGAGAAAAGCAAATAGGAAACCCCAAAGTGCTCCTTTTGAAAGGCTGCTGAACTTGATTCATTTCTCATCATTGCTAAACCTACTGGAGCAGTAAAGTTGGGAGAAATTTTACCAAGATTTTAATCGCTGCCTTGATCTATCCTTTCTGCTTTCCAAATGCTTTGGTGGGAAGACGTAGACGACTGTTGTAAGTACAAATAACTAAAAATAGTGTGTGTTTTTTACAGTGGCTTAACTTTTCATTTGTAGCAAGCTCACTGATTAAGCAGATTGATTTAAAATTATTATAAGTAGTTTGTAAATGTCATCTTATATATAGTGTGCACACGTGTATGGGCAGGTGTATATGTTTCTCACTGCAAAAACTTTTCAGTAGAAGTAAGGCAGAGTTTAAACTTTTGTCTTTGCAAATATAATCAAAGGCATCTTTCCTATTTAAGAAACCGCTAAAGTAATAGAATATGCAGAACTGGCCTGGAGTATTGGTAACAAACCATTTTAATTGCTGTGAAATCGTTTGTGTATCTGAGTTCTTCTCCTGATTATTTAGAAATGGCAACATGTGGGATAGTGACCTGACAGGTATTCTCAATGAGTATGGGAGGGATGTGTGGGGGCCTCAGGGTTAGAAAAATTTTATCTGGCATCTCATGGGGAAAAACAAAAAAATTAAATAATTGTGATGGATAAATGGAGGTTGGGGAAAGTACTGATAAATATTTAATTTGAAAGTTCCTTTCTCATATTACATTTGATATTTTGAATGTTCTTATCTGTAGCATATCATGAAAATTCTTTCAAAATAGGATATGATCTATGCTGGCAACTGATCAGACATTTCTGTTGAGAAAACAACATAAAAACATGAGGGACTTCTAATCATATTTCACAGTAAAGTCACGGTGTCGTTTCATGTCTCTGATGACCTAGCTTTTCAGTAAAGCTTTGAGTTTGGCTTTTATTATCAAGTACAACTATTTTGTTTATTTTAAGAAGTCATGGTGACTAATGAAAACTTCACAAATTGCCTGTGACACAACATTAAAAATAATATATAAAAATAATGTATGAGGAGCACAGTGTGTCCCCAAGAGATGGATGGAGATTATCTTTCTTTTCCTGCCTTTGACTTGTGTATTGCAGTCATTCTGAAATAGATATGAGGGCAATGTCTATAATTAAGAATAGAAAAAGTAGATCTCTCCAAATGAGTAACTCTGCAAAACTTCTGGAGAAAGAGTGACAGCACAAGTTTTGTCCTGAGAAAAATGTGTGGAAAAAAATTAACATTGTACATTGACTGACTCCTATTAGACGCTACCAGATTTTATAGTAAAATACATATATATATGTATAATTTCCTTATTTTATAAATTTACTGGTGAGCATCAGAATTGCTTTCTGATAGAAAATCTATTGCATTTACTAATACTACAAAAATACAATAGCATCTATGCTTTGCAATACACATACATATTGATCGATCTAGCAATCGATATATCTAAAAAATTAAAACCATAAACCAGTGCGTAGACAAATTTAGAAAGACTAGCAGAGATGTGATTCTGGAATGAAGCGAGGCAAATCAGCTCTCTGTCAAAGGTATTCAAATAGGTATTCAAATAACTTTAAATTCTTAATTAGAATTTGAGGAAACTTACCTTTTTTGAGATAAGCCCTGTAGAGCTTGATCATAGTACATTTTAAAAGTATCAGGTAACACTTATGCCCCATGTCAGTGGGTTTGTTAAAAGAAAATGAGTATGTTCACAGTGTATTTTTATACATTCACTTTTGCTGGTTCACAACATACTGTTCTGACTGTGACATTTGAGTCCAGTTTTTACAGTTGCCTTAGTTTGAAAACGTTAAAAATATACATTTGGTTTGTATTTAATCAAAATAGTTACCAATTAATAGAGAGGATCATTGTATTAACACAAGAATTGTTTACTTTTAGAATTACTAAAATATTGCATTGCAAAGAACCATTCAAATAATTTATTGCAAATATACATTTCATTCAGATTTTTTAAATGATGCAAATTATCTTGAGATCTAATGAAATCATCTTTCAGAATTTCATTTGCAAGGTCTTTTAAGGGCATCTTAACTCTGAAAAAGATATTGCTTGCTGATCTAAATAGATAATATACTTTTAAATTTAGTAAGCTTTCTTCGTCTCTTACATGGCATAATATTATGGAAAATACAATAGAATGTCATGTAGCAGTTACTCTAAACTTAAGAAAAGACTATGAATGTTTTATGCAAATTTATGTTATTTAAGAAAAGGAAGGTGTTTGTCACTACTCCAGCTAGACATAAATGAAACATTAATTTATAATTTGGACAGATATATTAATATTAATACAGCCTCTTCTTTAGTCCTGAAGTATTCATTTGAAATCCTTGTAGCCTAAGTCATTTCCTACATGTGAAACAAATTGTCAAGTTCTTAACCACTTGTGCGGTTTAATAAAAGAGATTATAATCTTTGTTGTCTTGGAAAAGTCAGGTGTTTTTTTTTTAATTCCATTTTATTACCTTTTATCATGGCTTTATCACAAGAATAAAACAGAGTTAGTTCCCAAACTCTCCTTCCCTTCCCACCTTCTATTGTAATATTTACCTAACTTATTAAAATGATTTATCATTTTTTTCATTAAACTATCCTTTCTTCTATTGCAAATACCAAAAAAACACCTGGTATTTTGGTGTGAGTATATATGTTTATAGAAACACATACATACACATTTAAATCACAGAATGCTATTACTTAAGAGATGTTGAAAATTAATTGGAAATTAACCTTCTTTAAAGATCATTTTCTGTTCATTTATTTACTTTCTATTTTAAACACACATCATTTTTAAGAAATTGACAAATAAAATTAATGTATGTCCTCTGTCTAACAAAACATAAGAGCCTCAGGGCTTAAGCATTAAAAGTTTCATGGGAAATCACCTCTATATGAAAAGACTTGTTTTGGTTGAATCTTTCCAAGTTACATTTTAAAATAAAATTAATGCCAGTTATATTTCTTTAAATTATATATTATTTCTCAAAGACAGACTGTTATTTAATGCAGATTAGAGTTTAAAGAATTTATAATGTTAGGAATTTGACATTTCTGCCTTTCATTCTGAAAAGATACATTGATTAAAGTGATGTCAAACTCAGTTAATGGAGGCGGTGTAGTTATTTCAGATATACAGGGTATGTAATTTGAAGGCAAGCCAAATCACAATGAGAAGAAATAATGATGACCTTGGTTTATTTTTATACAGTACATTCAAGTTTTGATTGGATTCAGAGGGAGGCAACAGTTTTCTTTCTCACTAAGTCCTTCTGTAGTCCTAGGAGATTTGGGTTCTGTTACCAAGGCAGTCGGTTCGTATTGGAATATTTTGGGGGAAGGTCATGGGCCGCAGTATGGGAAATGAGAAGACTTTTTTATTAAATGCTACCAACTTCCATAGCAGAATTTCGTGAAAATATTTCTCTTTGGGAAGCATGCTCCATGCTGTAGACCCATCTTCAAAACACAGACAGACAAGCAGATAAACACCTTGTGGTCTTTTCCTTTTTCCTCATTGAAAAACATCTATTAATTAAACTTCCTTGGTTTCACTCTGTACAATACTGACACAGTAATATTCACAACACATATTTGGAGTTCTGAAGTTGAATCTTAATAGATATGCACGCGCTCAGTTGGCAAAGCTAGAGTGTAGATTTTATTTTGCCCATTTGGGAGGCGTTTGTCTACTTACATCACATGTAGAATTGTCCTTAAAATCTTTATCACTGTAAAAGGACAAGCTCCTCTGGTTAATATTAAAAGTGAACGTGTCTTTCAGAGATTCTGCTATCTCCTCTTGAAAGGGAGAGTAACCCTGCTCTCTGTGAATCACTCATATGCAAACTAGGGTTTGAAGACTAACAGCTAAAATCATTTGGTTTACTTTTTTCTGACATTTGTAGTATAAAAAGCTTGTTTTCCCATATATTACAGCATATTATAATTTTGCATGTACCTTTTAAAAAAATTTATCTTTATTGTTGAAAATATTACAGATGTCCCCCCTTTTCCCCCATTGATCCCCTCCACCCAGCTCCTGCCCCCCCAGGCCTTCCCCACACTATTGTCCATGTCCATGGGCTGTGCATATATGCATATAAGTTCTTTGGTTGATCTCTTCCTGCCTCCTCTCCCCCCTTCCCTCTGAGATTCATCAGTCTGTCGCATGCTTCCATGTCTCTGGATCTCTTTTGTCTTTTTTAAACCAGATGCCTCCCTCGGAGATTCTGAAACACTACTTCCCAGGCCCATTTCTCTTTCTGTATTCAAGATTACTTAATATGGGGGGGAGTGGAGGGAAGCCTTGGCTGCAGCCTTTAAAGGGTATCTTAAATTTCTCATGCAGGATGAAGAAGAGGAGAGGAAATAGGTGCCCTACTGGCTCATACCTAAAAGAGCCTTAATCTTATGACCACACTGCCTCCGCCTCATGCACATTAGCAAAACCAAAGGGCAGTGCACCCCCTCTCCCATTGCTCCAGTCTTCCACTTAGGCTGCCATTTCAGCAAAGAATTTCCATTCAGCTCTGTGCTGGATCTTTTTTCGGGTGTTGACACTATTACAGATGCCACTCATCCCCCCCCCTT